TCAGATTCACTAGTCAGTACTTCTTAAATGTTTGGTCTTACTAATGGCATGTTACCATGGCAGAGAAATGCACTTTAACCACAAGGGTATGTTCCAAGTTTAATGAAACAACATTTCTAATACGGAGATGAAATCATTAGCTGCTCTGGTGTCATTAGAATGGCATTTCATTTAAATGTGGTTTTGTGAAGTTAAATTGACTGACATGGCACGTTTGAAGTGGGTTTTTGACGAATTGCTTAATGGTTAGGACATAAAATCTGGGTTTTTCCTGGCACAAAATTGCCATTTGGGGTGATGTAATGCGCAACTGATCTTTGTTACCTTACTCAACAGAAGGTCATCATGTTGTTTGTGGTCATTCTGCTAATTTGCCTTTCGTGGAAGGTTTTGTTTTTGATTAGCCTTGATGATCTCTCTTCTTTTTTTTTTTTTTTCTTCTCTTTTTTTGTGTTCACTACAAAAAGCTCGTGACCATAGGGTGAGGGTAGGGATGCAGATTGACCGGTAAATTGAGAACTTCACTTTTACGCTCAGCTCTCTTTTTACCATGTGGACTGGTAGCATCACTGCAGCTGCAGCACCATTTGTTCTGTCAATCTCCCGCTCCCTTCACCCGCTCACTAGTGAATAAGACCCAGAGATACTTGAGCTAAAACCTTTGATTGTATCTACATGCCATATTGAAATTCAGATTTTTTTAAAATAAACCAGCCTACAGCTTTTTTTTTTTTTGTAATTGACAGATACAATGAAGAAATGACAGGAAAGCAGGGGGGAAGACATGCGGCATGGGGTCGCGGGTCAAACCTGGGCTGGCTGCTCTCAGCCGTACGGCACGTGATCGCCTGCTCAGTGCACCGAGCTAAACTGGCGCCCGGGTATCAGACTAAGTTAACAGTTCATCCGCATATTTTGATACAACTTCTGGAGGCTTGCTGCAGATTCTTCACGGTGTAAAACAAATGACGGTGGATGGAGCAGATATAAAGTTTACTCTTCTTCACGTTGGAGTTTGTTGATCGGGTGGTTTGATGAAGGACTCCGGCTAGCTTTTTTCCCGGCAAAGGTTTTAAAGGTGATCACAGGAACAGCGCTCCTGTTTTGGACACTAGATGCACGTTTTTGGGTTGTTGTGTTTTTTTCTCACTCAGCCTGAGCTCACTGTCTCTGTAATGGCTCCGCCTCTTTGCGCTTCACCGTGTGTAAACAGACTCTGGCACAGTGTTAAAACTCTGATAACAAAACACAACAGTGATGACGTTGGCAATGGTTTTTTGTTTTGTTTGGGGTTTTTTTTTTTGTGTGTGTGTTGTTGTTTTTTTTGTTTGTTTTGTTTTTTTTATAAATACTAGGGACTGTTTGACTCTGTATTCAATCGTTGCCCTTAAAGACGTTTGTATTGCAGGTCCGTTTTCACTCGCAGATGTGGGTGTGATGCTCACATTTACATCATTTGACACTTCAGCGCACTACAGAGCCGTGTGTTAAACGAAGCCTCGAAGCAAAGAATTTGCATCAGGAAATTTTTATAATCGAATTATTCGAAATACTCAATGAATCGATGCAGCGCTACAAGGAACAGTTTAAATATAATTACACAGTTTTGGCTGAGCTTGTTTTGAGGTTCACCAGCAGCAGGTATAGCCATCTTAAATGTTTAATATTGTCAGAGAACTCCAGTTTGAAAAGGGCTGCCCTGCATTGGTTCGCTCTTTTTGGTATGTAAAAGGGAAGTGTTTATCTCTGAGTCGTTGTACACCTGACAGCCATTAAATCAGTACCATTAGAGAGAGCTCTGTTTACCTGCAGCTTGAATATAATTGTCACTCAGATTGCTGGAGGTAGTTGTTTCCATAAAGTATATTACTCTGTTCATTAGCCTGTGTAGAAATGTACTGGGTGGGAATGAGACTCCTCATTAGAAGGCTCATACAGTTTGTGTCAGGAACTGCTTTGGCATCACGCAGCACATGTACGAGCGGGGGTGTGATTGATTCTGTCGCCGATACAAACAAACCTGATTCCAAACTCCATCGCAAGCAGTCTTGTGTAAGTGTGCAGTGGACTGAATTGCAGATTAACATGGCATCACATCCACACCTTGCAGCTGGTGTGTCAGTGGACAAATATTTTGGTCTGAATCATTTCACACTGCCTGTGAGACTCCCAGATACTTTTTTTTCCTCTTCCTGTGGCTGTCATTTACATCACACTCCTACCTTTTCTAGCATAAAAGCTGTGTCGGCGACTGTTTTATGTGATGTGGCTCCGACAGTTTGTCAGGAGAATTAGTTGGACTTGTTCAAGTCTTTATCATGACTGTGTGTGAAAATACATGGCTGAACACACACTAGACAAACCTGCTGAATTCTTAACATACCATCAGCAAAGGCTCTCTATGACAGGAGTTTTTTGTTTTAAAGAATTTTTGTTTTAAAAACGACGCTAACCAGGATGGTCAAAAATTAACATTTTTTTAGTCATAATTACTCAAGCTTTTTGTTTATCACATGGGCAAAAATAACAGGAAAACTGTTAGCACAGATTCTTTGTCTTAATTATATGCTTACTAATTGTTCCTGAACATTTTCATATCCCATGGACTTGTTTTGAGCCTGTTTACATATAATCAGGATTCCTGCTAGTCATTAAAGTCTTACCTGGAAGATAAAAGTTAAAAATTAGGTTTTCAAAAGCCTTTTTTCCCTCACAAGATTGCTGTAAGTATTAAATTTGCAGATGCTCAACAATTTGATCCATTTGTTATCATGCATATCTATCATCTCTTACTATCTAGAACAACATGCTAACCTAATGGCATAATTACAGATGTCTTTTACTGGCTTTTTACCAGTTTGACACCACAGGCTGAGTGTGGATGTTGTTGCTACCGCTTTAATTGTGGCTCACTTTGTTGGCCATAAAAGTTACGCCTATGCCTTAATTCAGCTTTAAGGGTACCTTGTAAAACAAATCCGGTTACCCGTACGGATCAGGAAGCCAAGTGTGCAGTGTTTGACATAACCTGACCATGACCTGATAGGCTGAGGACAGTTTAAACAAAGTTGGTGGGGCAAGTTAAGTCACCTGCTGGCCTGTTCGGACCACTGACAGTTTTCACCGACCACTACTACTTATGAGTTTGTCTGTGAAGTAAACCGGTTAAAGCAACTCTCACTAATTAATATCAATGTTTTTGTTTTTGTTTTCTTCCTCTTCTTGCTCTCTGTAACATGTTGTTATGTGCTGAACAGAGCATTTCATAGTAGTGTAGAAAATGCAGCAGGAAGGTGACTGCTGCAGGACCCCACATGCAAACATTTCACACATTTTCTGCTAAGAACAGATTAGGGTTTAATAAAAAGTACAAAATTAAGCACAATTATTACAATTTTTTCCACACAACAAGGTTGAAGTTGAAAAAAGCATCAGAGATGTCATAGTTTATGGTTAAGCTAGCTAATCCTCTTTGATACAGTAAGCAGCGAAGACAGTGGTACCACTTAGACGTTGAACACGGGTGGAGTGAAAGAAAATGTTTTCTTGGAAACATTTGTGGGGAAAGAAGCAAAAGCACTTTATTATTTTGCCTGTTTAGTGAGATTAAAGGTGAAGAAAAGCTGTCTTGTGGGCTCCTCCCATCCACTGGCGGTTTGCTTTATGTCATGACAAAGCTAAAGAATAAAGAACAAGTTTGAAAAGGTGTGTGCAGATGAGCAGCTTGTTTCGTTTTCCACCATGGTTAAATTTGGCACATTTTTCAGTTTAACTTTGCTACAGGCTACAACATGAAGCAATGTGTGTACTCGTATATTAAAAACTTAAAGCACACTGATGTGGAAGGTCATCACAGGCCAGGCTTGTCATGCACTGGTGGAAGCTCTGAGGGGTAATTGTTAAAGCCACAAACCATAGTCACGTCTTCAAATTCCTTGTTTTGTCTTAAAATTAGTCCAAAGTTCACTGCAGTCATTT